CAGCTGATTCTTATCAGCGGCCAGGTGGAGGACTTGCAGCAGCTTCAGACTCGGGTCACTACCTGGCGTGACAGGCTTCTCGTGACGATAGACGACCGACTTGCGAGAGCCTGTGACGTGGGGTTCCTTGCGCAGCAGTTTGCAGCAGAGCCGGCACGCTCTGCTATCTGGCAGAGCATCCAGACGCTGAGGGTTAGGTGCCACGCTGCTGTTACAGACGCACTCCTCCGTGTAGGGCTGCAGCACCGGCAGTACGCAGACACTGAGAGCAGGCGGGTGGAGCAGCAGCAGCGTCAGAGAGAGCGACGTCAGGAGCGGCGTGAGCAGGCAGAGGCGACGCCTGTAGACCAGACCATGGGAGAGTTTGTCCCCAGGGAGGTCGAGAGGCAGGTGGGCGCCTGGCAGGACGAGGCCCGGGAGCAGCTTCGTCGCATCCTCGAGCGACTTGACCGTTTGGAGGGGCGGCGCTCAGGGCAGTCAGGCCAGCAGCAGCGAGGCAGGACCAGGACTAGGGAGGTTACGGGTGACGGACGCCTGGAGTCCGTCTCTCCTGTCCGTAGCCGCACTCCGCAGGGCCGACAGGGCAGCCGCTCACAGCCTACTCAGGGAGCGGGTGCACAGACTGCAGGTACACAGGGTGCAGCAGGACAGCCTTCCCAGGGTCAGGGAGCAGCCACCACGACCCAGCAGCGCCCAGTGACACAGACCCAGGGGCAGCAGCAGCAGGGTCAGGGGCAGCAGCAGGGTCAGGGGCAGCAGCAGCAGGGTCAGCAGCAGCAGCGGCAGCAGCAGCAGCAGCAGCAGCAGCAGCAGCAGCAGACCCAGCAGCAGCAGACCGGGACCACACGTCAGTCTGAGCAGGCCCCTGCCTCCACTCAGGGAGGCAAGGGGAAGGGCGGCGGTGGCTCCACGAGTTTCCAGGACCGCAGAGGCGGTAGAGGAGGACGTTGGGACCGGGGAGGTCGTTGGGGGAGGGGTGGACTGGACGGCGGGTGGCAGGACCGTGACAGTTGGTCACAGCAGCCGTTCCAGTCTACCTACCAGGGCCTAGCACAGCAGCAGCAGCCGTTTAGCTCTTACGGCCTGCAGCAGCAGCAGCAGCCGTTCGGTCCTTACGGCCTGCAGCAGCAGCCTTCTTGGCAGTACGGACAGGGGGGGTCCTCTTTCGGCCCCTACCAGGGCTCCTTCTTCCAGGGTCCCTCGTACTTTCCCTTTTCTGGCGCACCTGCGCAGCAGCAGTTCTACCAGCAGCCTTTTTTGGGGCCTTCTTTCCAGCAGCAGCAGTTTGGAGCACCCCTCCGGCAGCAGCAGTTTGGAGCACCTCCTCCGACCCCCCCACAGCCCCCCCTGCCACAGCAGCCTCCACAGGGTCAGGGGGAGCAGCAGGGGCAGGCGAGGCAGTAGAGGGAGTCGTGGGGGAGGAGGTCGGTCGTAGGAGGAGGAGTAGGCCGCGTAGGAGGCTGGAGGAGAGTGACACCGACCGTCTTTTGAGACTGTTTGCTAGGCGCTCTGTGCAGGAGGTGGCGGACAAGCTAACTAACGTGGCTGTCCACAACCTTTCGCGCAGGCAGTTGTCAGAGGATGAGCTTGCAGGCCTCGCCCTTGGCCTCAAGTTCATCCCGACACCACCCTCCTTAGACCAGGAGCAGCTGAGACAGGCGGTGGAGCAGTTTCAGAGGAGGGTCAGGCTGGCTTGGCAGTTCCGGGACAGTCGCAGACCAGTACCCAGGTTCAGAGTCCCACGTCCCAGCTGGCAGCCGAGTTCGGGACCAGAGGAGGTTGAGGAGTACCTGGCCGGGGTAGCTGACAGGGTAGAGGGTTTGTCGGAGCTGATAGGGGGGCCAGCGCGGCCCAACGTGAGCAGGAGGGTGTTGGGCGCGCTGCAGAGGTTGAGTCGGGACCGGTCTATAGTTATTAAACCGGCCGACAAAAACCTTGGGATTGCGGTGTTAGACAGGGAGTGGTACGAGGGGGAGGCGCTGAGGCAGCTGGGGGACAGGGCGGTTTACGAGCCGGTGGCTATGGTGCCGTTGCAGAGACTTTGGGGGCAGTTGTGTCGGTGGGCAGAGCAGGCACGCCTGGCAGGGTTGCCGTCGCAGGTGTTAGACTTTATCCTGCAGCCACGCACTCCGTGTTTGGAGCGGGCTACCAGAGCTTGGGAGCGGTTTCGGGTGTGCAGATTCTACTTGCTACCGAAGCTGCACAAGACTCCAGTAGCCGGCAGGCCTATCTGCTCGTCCACGCTCTGGGTTTTTGAGCATGCATCGGCAGTCTTAGACCACTACCTCCGCCCTTTACTACGGTTTTCACCCTCGCACCTTCCAGACTCACTTGCACTTTTGCACCAGCTAGAGGACCTTCGTGTGCCAGCAGAGGCTCTCTTCCTGACCTACGACGTTGAGAGCCTCTACCCATCGATCCCTATCGACGCAGGTATCAGCTGCATCGAGAGGTGGTTGCTTCGGTGGGCAGCACAGGGGAGGATTGCAAGGGGGGTAGCAGACACACTGGTGCAGCTGTTGGGGTTGGTCATGAGGCAGAACCACCTCGAGTTTGGTGGTCGTTTTTGGCGGCAGGTTCGGGGGACTGCTATGGGCACGCCTGTAGCAGTGATCTACGCGGTTCTGTTCATGGCTTGGTTAGACGAGAGGTTGCTAGAGACAGAGCCCGAGTTGTCGCAGCACGTCCTTCTCCACCGCAGGTTCATAGACGACGGGGTGGTGGTTTGGACGGGGACACGGGAGCGGCTGCTGGAGTGGGTGGGGGCGTTTGGTGGGTTGGAGCAGACTATTCGACTGACCCACGAGATCTCCACCTCACAGTTCACCTTGCTGGATATCACGTTCAGCAAGGGAGAGCTCTGGCAGACGACGGCTATCTTGGACACCACGACCTTCCAGAAGCCGCTCAACGTGTACCAGTACTTTCCTTTCTCCTCCGCGCACCCCTCTCACTGCAAGAGGGGCTTCATCTTGGGTGAGCTGCAGCGGTACATTCTGAGGGAGTCCAGTTCTCGAGGGTTTAGGAGTATCAGGTCGGCCTTCTACGCTCGGCTGCGGGCGCGGGGGTACCCAGACACTTTCTTGCAGCCGATCTTCAGCAGCATCTCCTACGCACGACGCCCGGAGCTTCTTGCCAGGTCACGGGCTCGGGGGGAGGGGGAGCAGGAGGCGCAGCAGCGGGTTCTCCCTCTTGTTCTCGACTTCCACCCGAGTGTGCAGCAGGTCCGCTGGGGTAGGTTGCTGGCCTTCCCTCCAGAGGCACCAGCGTTTGAGCAGCTTTCTCACTACAGGGCACCTTTCGTGTCCTACAGGGCACCTCCGTCGCTCCGACAGCTACTCGTGCGAGCGTCGTTCAGGTGACTAGGGTGCCCCGCTCTCGCCGTCGCCGCACAGCACGTCACTTGTCTTCTGTGGGTGTCGTGCCGTCTCGGTTAGTCGTCTGCCGCCTCCCCGCCCTTCCTCCTTGTTTCACAGCACGTGCACACGGGTGGGGCCTTGGAGCGAGCACCTTTCTGCACTTCGCAGCGGCGTGCTGCATTTGGTTGGGCCGTCGCAGCAGCACCATCCCCCGTCCAGTCTCTTCGTTTTCTCACACAGGCTGGACCCAGGGATGCACGACAGCCTCCCGCCTGACTTCTTTGATTTCAGCCACACAGGTCAGGCCCTGGGGCAGTGTGAGTGTACCTGCGACTACACTCTGCGTTCGTTGTGGGTTGTATCTGTGGGTTACGCACTTGCACACTTGTACCATTCCCCATCCCAGACCGTTATGAGTACTGGGATGCCTTTCTCCTCTTTGCACGGGACTTGGGTTTTGGTAGCATGTGCATTGTACCTTCCCCACCTCTGGCCATATGAGCACAGGGGTGCCTTTCTCCTCTTGCACGTAGTGGGGATTTATGGGATTCGGGGTACCATGACACATGGCACATGTACTTGACACGCCCCCGACCTTTATGAGTACCAGGGGGCACAGCACGCGAGAGGGTGACTAGGCCTCTTTCTAGTTTCGGGGGTTAGCTTGTTAGGTACATGCAGGTCTCCGTCTCACTGTGTAGGGCTGATGAAGGGCTCTTCGACGAGCCTTCACACGCCCCGAACGGAGCACCGAGCGCTGAGTTACGCGCGTTTTAGTGGTACGCTCTCTGGTTTCGCGCGAATCTGGAGAGCGCCGGGCTGGCACCCGAACATGACTGTTTGCATGTTCCGGTTTTCGCCACCCGGACCCGACGGTTACCCTGTATATTATATGTCGGACCATGAGCCCCGTAGGGGCTGGAGGCTGCCGGAACCGTCGGATTCGCCATCTGGCGCCCGGATTGGGAGATATGGGCAGCTGGGTGTAGGCCCTTGGCAGGCTGCACAGTTGGCAGCCTGCAAGGGCGTTTCTTTGCCTAGGTGGCAGGTTAGGCCCACATTGCACTTTGGGGCATTGGGTTGGGTTGGGACAGCTATAAGTAGGGAGCTCTTGCTAGGGTAGATCCTTGTCTTGCTGATGATGCCTTCGTGGCGAAATCGATACGAGACTGCTTCTACCTACACTTGAGGTACTTACTCTATTGCATGTCCCTACACCCCTAGGCTTAGGACTTGTGTTTTTTTCAGCAGTTTGCTTGCCTAGCTAGAAGTTTCTTGCAGTTCTCCTGCATTCCGCTAGGCCATTTTCGTCGTCGTTTTTTTCCTGCCGCTTGGGGAGCCTTGTGTTGCCCCCTGGCGGCCCTAGCCTACCCTTAGAGTAGTGCCATCGGCTAGACTTTCAGAGACTCGTGCCCCTCGACTTCTCCCAGTCTAGGCCGTTAGTCTCTCGTTCTACCGATAGGCCGTCACAGCCACTTTCTTCGTTAGCGACTCTAGACTGTCTGGAGCAGCACTGCAGCTCAGTTCTTTGAGCATTCCTATCAAACCCTAAACCTATTGCACTGACGCCGGTGTTGGAGAGTGGCGTAGACGATACAGACTCCTAGTTTTTTCCGTTTCGTTAGTCTTTTAGACGTCACCATGAGTGGGCTCCGAGTTCCTGCAGCGGCAGGCACTGGGGGAGGAGCCGGTGTCGGCAGAGCAGGAGACCAGGGGGGATCAGCGGCTGCGGCTATGGAGACTAGTGCACCAGCTACTGTCGCTGATATTACTGAGCAGTTTCGGCGTACTCGTAGACGGACCGAGCGGGACGAGGAGGACAGACGGACGGAGTTGGCGCTGGAGCAGCAGGCCGAGTGGCAGCGCAGCATACAGCAGCAGCTTCGTCTCAGGAATATTGAGGGGGATATCCTGCGAGACCGGTCCGTGATAGACAGCTGGGTTAGGATGATCTCTCGTGACAGGGAGCAGTTGGCACAGGAGGCAGCTTCCATTCGCGAGCAGCTGAGACAGGAGGCTGAGACCTTGGCACAGCAGCGGCAGCAGCGACCACGGCTTGGGCTACCGTCGTCGCAGCAGGAGCCACAGCAGCAGGGCCAGCAGCAGCAGCAGGGGCAACAGCAGGCCCAGCAGCAGCAGGGTCAGCAGCGGCAGGGTCAGCAGCAGTCTCAGCAGCAGCAGCCGCAGCAGCAGCAGCAGCCGACAGCCACCGGTGCGGCGGGTGAGGCTACTGCCGGGGGAGAGCAGACAGACACTCTTGCCTCGAGGCTGTTTCGGCAGGTCTTTGGTGGTCTTTTCCCAGACACTTCTGGAGGAGGGGCAGCAGCCGCAGGAGCAGCAGGTGCAGGGGCTGGGGCTGCCACGGACCCTGCTCTACTTTCCAGGGTGGCGGAGATTAGGGACGCCATCCAGGCAGAGACGGTACCACCAGAGTTTACAGCGCTCATAGAGACAGAGTCCGCTGTACTAGCAGCTGACTTGCGAGCCGTCGTTAAGACCGAGAGGGGTCTGGCGAAGACTCGCAAGCAGTTTTCTGAGGGACAGGTGGCGCACTGCATCCCGAAGAACTTTGTACCTGAGCTCCACCTCCACACTACAGAGGCACAGGAGCAGCTTCGGACTAGGATGCAGGAGCTTCAGCAGCACGCACAGGGACAGATGCAGCTGATTCTTATCAGCGGCCAGGTGGAGGACTTGCAGCAGCTTCAGACTCGGGTCACTACCTGGCGTGACAGGCTTCTCGTGACGATAGACGACCGACTTGCGAGAGCCTGTGACGTGGGGTTCCTTGCGCAGCAGTTTGCAGCAGAGCCGGCACGCTCTGCTATCTGGCAGAGCATCCAGACGCTGAGGGTTAGGTGCCACGCTGCTGTTACAGACGCACTCCTCCGTGTAGGGCTGCAGCACCGGCAGTACGCAGACACTGAGAGCAGGCGGGTGGAGCAGCAGCAGCGTCAGAGAGAGCGACGTCAGGAGCGGCGTGAGCAGGCAGAGGCGACGCCTGTAGACCAGACCATGGGAGAGTTTGTCCCCAGGGAGGTCGAGAGGCAGGTGGGCGCCTGGCAGGACGAGGCCCGGGAGCAGCTTCGTCGCATCCTCGAGCGACTTGACCGTTTGGAGGGGCGGCGCTCAGGGCAGTCAGGCCAGCAGCAGCGAGGCAGGACCAGGACTAGGGAGGTTACGGGTGACGGACGCCTGGAGTCCGTCTCTCCTGTCCGTAGCCGCACTCCGCAGGGCCGACAGGGCAGCCGCTCACAGCCTACTCAGGGAGCGGGTGCACAGACTGCAGGTACACAGGGTGCAGCAGGACAGCCTTCCCAGGGTCAGGGAGCAGCCACCACGACCCAGCAGCGCCCAGTGACACAGACCCAGGGGCAGCAGCAGCAGGGTCAGGGGCAGCAGCAGGGTCAGGGGCAGCAGCAGCAGGGTCAGCAGCAGCAGCGGCAGCAGCAGCAGCAGCAGCAGCAGCAGCAGCAGCAGACCCAGCAGCAGCAGACCGGGACCACACGTCAGTCTGAGCAGGCCCCTGCCTCCACTCAGGGAGGCAAGGGGAAGGGCGGCGGTGGCTCCACGAGTTTCCAGGACCGCAGAGGCGGTAGAGGAGGACGTTGGGACCGGGGAGGTCGTTGGGGGAGGGGTGGACTGGACGGCGGGTGGCAGGACCGTGACAGTTGGTCACAGCAGCCGTTCCAGTCTACCTACCAGGGCCTAGCACAGCAGCAGCAGCCGTTTAGCTCTTACGGCCTGCAGCAGCAGCAGCAGCCGTTCGGTCCTTACGGCCTGCAGCAGCAGCCTTCTTGGCAGTACGGACAGGGGGGGTCCTCTTTCGGCCCCTACCAGGGCTCCTTCTTCCAGGGTCCCTCGTACTTTCCCTTTTCTGGCGCACCTGCGCAGCAGCAGTTCTACCAGCAGCCTTTTTTGGGGCCTTCTTTCCAGCAGCAGCAGTTTGGAGCACCCCTCCGGCAGCAGCAGTTTGGAGCACCTCCTCCGACCCCCCACAGCCCCCCCTGCCACAGCAGCCTCCACAGGGTCAGGGGGAGCAGCAGGGGCAGGCGAGGCAGTAGAGGGAGTCGTGGGGGAGGAGGTCGGTCGTAGGAGGAGGAGTAGGCCGCGTAGGAGGCTGGAGGAGAGTGACACCGACCGTCTTTTGAGACTGTTTGCTAGGCGCTCTGTGCAGGAGGTGGCGGACAAGCTAACTAACGTGGCTGTCCACAACCTTTCGCGCAGGCAGTTGTCAGAGGATGAGCTTGCAGGCCTCGCCCTTGGCCTCAAGTTCATCCCGACACCACCCTCCTTAGACCAGGAGCAGCTGAGACAGGCGGTGGAGCAGTTTCAGAGGAGGGTCAGGCTGGCTTGGCAGTTCCGGGACAGTCGCAGACCAGTACCCAGGTTCAGAGTCCCACGTCCCAGCTGGCAGCCGAGTTCGGGACCAGAGGAGGTTGAGGAGTACCTGGCCGGGGTAGCTGACAGGGTAGAGGGTTTGTCGGAGCTGATAGGGGGGCCAGCGCGGCCCAACGTGAGCAGGAGGGTGTTGGGCGCGCTGCAGAGGTTGAGTCGGGACCGGTCTATAGTTATTAAACCGGCCGACAAAAACCTTGGGATTGCGGTGTTAGACAGGGAGTGGTACGAGGGGGAGGCGCTGAGGCAGCTGGGGGACAGGGCGGTTTACGAGCCGGTGGCTATGGTGCCGTTGCAGAGACTTTGGGGGCAGTTGTGTCGGTGGGCAGAGCAGGCACGCCTGGCAGGGTTGCCGTCGCAGGTGTTAGACTTTATCCTGCAGCCACGCACTCCGTGTTTGGAGCGGGCTACCAGAGCTTGGGAGCGGTTTCGGGTGTGCAGATTCTACTTGCTACCGAAGCTGCACAAGACTCCAGTAGCCGGCAGGCCTATCTGCTCGTCCACGCTCTGGGTTTTTGAGCATGCATCGGCAGTCTTAGACCACTACCTCCGCCCTTTACTACGGTTTTCACCCTCGCACCTTCCAGACTCACTTGCACTTTTGCACCAGCTAGAGGACCTTCGTGTGCCAGCAGAGGCTCTCTTCCTGACCTACGACGTTGAGAGCCTCTACCCATCGATCCCTATCGACGCAGGTATCAGCTGCATCGAGAGGTGGTTGCTTCGGTGGGCAGCACAGGGGAGGATTGCAAGGGGGGTAGCAGACACACTGGTGCAGCTGTTGGGGTTGGTCATGAGGCAGAACCACCTCGAGTTTGGTGGTCGTTTTTGGCGGCAGGTTCGGGGGACTGCTATGGGCACGCCTGTAGCAGTGATCTACGCGGTTCTGTTCATGGCTTGGTTAGACGAGAGGTTGCTAGAGACAGAGCCCGAGTTGTCGCAGCACGTCCTTCTCCACCGCAGGTTCATAGACGACGGGGTGGTGGTTTGGACGGGGACACGGGAGCGGCTGCTGGAGTGGGTGGGGGCGTTTGGTGGGTTGGAGCAGACTATTCGACTGACCCACGAGATCTCCACCTCACAGTTCACCTTGCTGGATATCACGTTCAGCAAGGGAGAGCTCTGGCAGACGACGGCTATCTTGGACACCACGACCTTCCAGAAGCCGCTCAACGTGTACCAGTACTTTCCTTTCTCCTCCGCGCACCCCTCTCACTGCAAGAGGGGCTTCATCTTGGGTGAGCTGCAGCGGTACATTCTGAGGGAGTCCAGTTCTCGAGGGTTTAGGAGTATCAGGTCGGCCTTCTACGCTCGGCTGCGGGCGCGGGGGTACCCAGACACTTTCTTGCAGCCGATCTTCAGCAGCATCTCCTACGCACGACGCCCGGAGCTTCTTGCCAGGTCACGGGCTCGGGGGGAGGGGGAGCAGGAGGCGCAGCAGCGGGTTCTCCCTCTTGTTCTCGACTTCCACCCGAGTGTGCAGCAGGTCCGCTGGGGTAGGTTGCTGGCCTTCCCTCCAGAGGCACCAGCGTTTGAGCAGCTTTCTCACTACAGGGCACCTTTCGTGTCCTACAGGGCACCTCCGTCGCTCCGACAGCTACTCGTGCGAGCGTCGTTCAGGTGACTAGGGTGCCCCGCTCCTCGCCGTCGCCGCACAGCACGTCACTTGTCTTCTGTGGGTGTCGTGCCGTCTCGGTTAGTCGTCTGCCGCCTCCCCGCCCTTCCTCCTTGTTTCACAGCACGTGCACACGGGTGGGGCCTTGGAGCGAGCACCTTTCTGCACTTCGCAGCGGCGTGCTGCATTTGGTTGGGCCGTCGCAGCAGCACCATCCCCCGTCCAGTCTCTTCGTTTTCTCACACAGGCTGGACCCAGGGATGCACGACAGCCTCCCGCCTGACTTCTTTGATTTCAGCCACACAGGTCAGGCCCTGGGGCAGTGTGAGTGTACCTGCGACTACACTCTGCGTTCGTTGTGGGTTGTATCTGTGGGTTACGCACTTGCACACTTGTACCATTCCCCATCCCAGACCGTTATGAGTACTGGGATGCCTTTCTCCTCTTTGCACGGGACTTGGGTTTTGGTAGCATGTGCATTGTACCTTCCCCACCTCTGGCCATATGAGCACAGGGGTGCCTTTCTCCTCTTGCACGTAGTGGGGATTTATGGGATTCGGGGTACCATGACACATGGCACATGTACTTGACACGCCCCCGACCTTTATGAGTACCAGGGGGCACAGCACGCGAGAGGGTGACTAGGCCTCTTTCTAGTTTCGGGGGTTAGCTTGTTAGGTACATGCAGGTCTCCGTCTCACTGTGTAGGGCTGATGAAGGGCTCTTCGACGAGCCTTCACACGCCCCGAACGGAGCACCGAGCGCTGAGTTACGCGCGTTTTAGTGGTACGCTCTCTGGTTTCGCGCGAATCTGGAGAGCGCCGGGCTGGCACCCGAACATGACTGTTTGCATGTTCCGGTTTTCGCCACCCGGACCCGACGGTTACCCTGTATATTATATGTCGGACCATGAGCCCCGTAGGGGCTGGAGGCTGCCGGAACCGTCGGATTCGCCATCTGGCGCCCGGATTGGGAGATATGGGCAGCTGGGTGTAGGCCCTTGGCAGGCTGCACAGTTGGCAGCCTGCAAGGGCGTTTCTTTGCCTAGGTGGCAGGTTAGGCCCACATTGCACTTTGGGGCATTGGGTTGGGTTGGGACAGCTATAAGTAGGGAGCTCTTGCTAGGGTAGATCCTTGTCTTGCTGATGATGCCTTCGTGGCGAAATCGATACGAGACTGCTTCTACCTACACTTGAGGTACTTACTCTATTGCATGTCCCTACACCCCTAGGCTTAGGACTTGTGTTTTTTTCAGCAGTTTGCTTGCCTAGCTAGAAGTTTCTTGCAGTTCTCCTGCATTCCGCTAGGCCATTTTCGTCGTCGTTTTTTCCTGCCGCTTGGGGAGCCTTGTGTTGCCCCCTGGCGGCCCTAGCCTACCCTTAGAGTAGTGCCATCGGCTAGACTTTCAGAGACTCGTGCCCCTCGACTTCTCCCAGTCTAGGCCGTTAGTCTCTCGTTCTACCGATAGGCCGTCACAGCCACTTTCTTCGTTAGCGACTCTAGACTGTCTGGAGCAGCACTGCAGCTCAGTTCTTTGAGCATTCCTATCAAACCCTAAACCTATTGCACTGACGCCGGTGTTGGAGAGTGGCGTAGACGATACAGACTCCTAGTTTTTTCCGTTTCGTTAGTCTTTTAGACGTCACCATGAGTGGGCTCCGAGTTCCTGCAGCGGCAGGCACTGGGGGAGGAGCCGGTGTCGGCAGAGCAGGAGACCAGGGGGGATCAGCGGCTGCGGCTATGGAGACTAGTGCACCAGCTACTGTCGCTGATATTACTGAGCAGTTTCGGCGTACTCGTAGACGGACCGAGCGGGACGAGGAGGACAGACGGACGGAGTTGGCGCTGGAGCAGCAGGCCGAGTGGCAGCGCAGCATACAGCAGCAGCTTCGTCTCAGGAATATTGAGGGGGATATCCTGCGAGACCGGTCCGTGATAGACAGCTGGGTTAGGATGATCTCTCGTGACAGGGAGCAGTTGGCACAGGAGGCAGCTTCCATTCGCGAGCAGCTGAGACAGGAGGCTGAGACCTTGGCACAGCAGCGGCAGCAGCGACCACGGCTTGGGCTACCGTCGTCGCAGCAGGAGCCACAGCAGCAGGGCCAGCAGCAGCAGCAGGGGCAACAGCAGGCCCAGCAGCAGCAGGGTCAGCAGCGGCAGGGTCAGCAGCAGTCTCAGCAGCAGCAGCCGCAGCAGCAGCAGCAGCCGACAGCCACCGGTGCGGCGGGTGAGGCTACTGCCGGGGGAGAGCAGACAGACACTCTTGCCTCGAGGCTGTTTCGGCAGGTCTTTGGTGGTCTTTTCCCAGACACTTCTGGAGGAGGGGCAGCAGCCGCAGGAGCAGCAGGTGCAGGGGCTGGGGCTGCCACGGACCCTGCTCTACTTTCCAGGGTGGCGGAGATTAGGGACGCCATCCAGGCAGAGACGGTACCACCAGAGTTTACAGCGCTCATAGAGACAGAGTCCGCTGTACTAGCAGCTGACTTGCGAGCCGTCGTTAAGACCGAGAGGGGTCTGGCGAAGACTCGCAAGCAGTTTTCTGAGGGACAGGTGGCGCACTGCATCCCGAAGAACTTTGTACCTGAGCTCCACCTCCACACTACAGAGGCACAGGAGCAGCTTCGGACTAGGATGCAGGAGCTTCAGCAGCACGCACAGGGACAGATGCAGCTGATTCTTATCAGCGGCCAGGTGGAGGACTTGCAGCAGCTTCAGACTCGGGTCACTACCTGGCGTGACAGGCTTCTCGTGACGATAGACGACCGACTTGCGAGAGCCTGTGACGTGGGGTTCCTTGCGCAGCAGTTTGCAGCAGAGCCGGCACGCTCTGCTATCTGGCAGAGCATCCAGACGCTGAGGGTTAGGTGCCACGCTGCTGTTACAGACGCACTCCTCCGTGTAGGGCTGCAGCACCGGCAGTACGCAGACACTGAGAGCAGGCGGGTGGAGCAGCAGCAGCGTCAGAGAGAGCGACGTCAGGAGCGGCGTGAGCAGGCAGAGGCGACGCCTGTAGACCAGACCATGGGAGAGTTTGTCCCCAGGGAGGTCGAGAGGCAGGTGGGCGCCTGGCAGGACGAGGCCCGGGAGCAGCTTCGTCGCATCCTCGAGCGACTTGACCGTTTGGAGGGGCGGCGCTCAGGGCAGTCAGGCCAGCAGCAGCGAGGCAGGACCAGGACTAGGGAGGTTACGGGTGACGGACGCCTGGAGTCCGTCTCTCCTGTCCGTAGCCGCACTCCGCAGGGCCGACAGGGCAGCCGCTCACAGCCTACTCAGGGAGCGGGTGCACAGACTGCAGGTACACAGGGTGCAGCAGGACAGCCTTCCCAGGGTCAGGGAGCAGCCACCACGACCCAGCAGCGCCCAGTGACACAGACCCAGGGGCAGCAGCAGCAGGGTCAGGGGCAGCAGCAGGGTCAGGGGCAGCAGCAGCAGGGTCAGCAGCAGCAGCGGCAGCAGCAGCAGCAGCAGCAGCAGCAGCAGCAGCAGACCCAGCAGCAGCAGACCGGGACCACACGTCAGTCTGAGCAGGCCCCTGCCTCCACTCAGGGAGGCAAGGGGAAGGGCGGCGGTGGCTCCACGAGTTTCCAGGACCGCAGAGGCGGTAGAGGAGGACGTTGGGACCGGGGAGGTCGTTGGGGGAGGGGTGGACTGGACGGCGGGTGGCAGGACCGTGACAGTTGGTCACAGCAGCCGTTCCAGTCTACCTACCAGGGCCTAGCACAGCAGCAGCAGCCGTTTAGCTCTTACGGCCTGCAGCAGCAGCAGCAGCCGTTCGGTCCTTACGGCCTGCAGCAGCAGCCTTCTTGGCAGTACGGACAGGGGGGGGTCCTCTTTCGGCCCCTACCAGGGCTCCTTCTTCCAGGGTCCCTCGTACTTTCCCTTTTCTGGCGCACCTGCGCAGCAGCAGTTCTACCAGCAGCCTTTTTTGGGGCCTTCTTTCCAGCAGCAGCAGTTTGGAGCACCCCTCCGGCAGCAGCAGTTTGGAGCACCTCCTCCGACCCCCCCACAGCCCCCCCTGCCACAGCAGCCTCCACAGGGTCAGGGGGAGCAGCAGGGGCAGGCGAGGCAGTAGAGGGAGTCGTGGGGGAGGAGGTCGGTCGTAGGAGGAGGAGTAGGCCGCGTAGGAGGCTGGAGGAGAGTGACACCGACCGTCTTTTGAGACTGTTTGCTAGGCGCTCTGTGCAGGAGGTGGCGGACAAGCTAACTAACGTGGCTGTCCACAACCTTTCGCGCAGGCAGTTGTCAGAGGATGAGCTTGCAGGCCTCGCCCTTGGCCTCAAGTTCATCCCGACACCACCCTCCTTAGACCAGGAGCAGCTGAGACAGGCGGTGGAGCAGTTTCAGAGGAGGGTCAGGCTGGCTTGGCAGTTCCGGGACAGTCGCAGACCAGTACCCAGGTTCAGAGTCCCACGTCCCAGCTGGCAGCCGAGTTCGGGACCAGAGGAGGTTGAGGAGTACCTGGCCGGGGTAGCTGACAGGGTAGAGGGTTTGTCGGAGCTGATAGGGGGGCCAGCGCGGCCCAACGTGAGCAGGAGGGTGTTGGGCGCGCTGCAGAGGTTGAGTCGGGACCGGTCTATAGTTATTAAACCGGCCGACAAAAACCTTGGGATTGCGGTGTTAGACAGGGAGTGGTACGAGGGGGAGGCGCTGAGGCAGCTGGGGGACAGGGCGGTTTACGAGCCGGTGGCTATGGTGCCGTTGCAGAGACTTTGGGGGCAGTTGTGTCGGTGGGCAGAGCAGGCACGCCTGGCAGGGTTGCCGTCGCAGGTGTTAGACTTTATCCTGCAGCCACGCACTCCGTGTTTGGAGCGGGCTACCAGAGCTTGGGAGCGGTTTCGGGTGTGCAGATTCTACTTGCTACCGAAGCTGCACAAGACTCCAGTAGCCGGCAGGCCTATCTGCTCGTCCACGCTCTGGGTTTTTGAGCATGCATCGGCAGTCTTAGACCACTACCTCCGCCCTTTACTACGGTTTTCACCCTCGCACCTTCCAGACTCACTTGCACTTTTGCACCAGCTAGAGGACCTTCGTGTGCCAGCAGAGGCTCTCTTCCTGACCTACGACGTTGAGAGCCTCTACCCATCGATCCCTATCGACGCAGGTATCAGCTGCATCGAGAGGTGGTTGCTTCGGTGGGCAGCACAGGGGAGGATTGCAAGGGGGGTAGCAGACACACTGGTGCAGCTGTTGGGGTTGGTCATGAGGCAGAACCACCTCGAGTTTGGTGGTCGTTTTTGGCGGCAGGTTCGGGGGACTGCTATGGGCACGCCTGTAGCAGTGATCTACGCGGTTCTGTTCATGGCTTGGTTAGACGAGAGGTTGCTAGAGACAGAGCCCGAGTTGTCGCAGCACGTCCTTCTCCACCGCAGGTTCATAGACGACGGGGTGGTGGTTTGGACGGGGACACGGGAGCGGCTGCTGGAGTGGGTGGGGGCGTTTGGTGGGTTGGAGCAGACTATTCGACTGACCCACGAGATCTCCACCTCACAGTTCACCTTGCTGGATATCACGTTCAGCAAGGGAGAGCTCTGGCAGACGACGGCTATCTTGGACACCACGACCTTCCAGAAGCCGCTCAACGTGTACCAGTACTTTCCTTTCTCCTCCGCGCACCCCTCTCACTGCAAGAGGGGCTTCATCTTGGGTGAGCTGCAGCGGTACATTCTGAGGGAGTCCAGTTCTCGAGGGTTTAGGAGTATCAGGTCGGCCTTCTACGCTCGGCTGCGGGCGCGGGGGTACCCAGACACTTTCTTGCAGCCGATCTTCAGCAGCATCTCCTACGCACGACGCCCGGAGCTTCTTGCCAGGTCACGGGCTCGGGGGGAGGGGGAGCAGGAGGCGCAGCAGCGGGTTCTCCCTCTTGTTCTCGACTTCCACCCGAGTGTGCAGCAGGTCCGCTGGGGTAGGTTGCTGGCCTTCCCTCCAGAGGCACCAGCGTTTGAGCAGCTTTCTCACTACAGGGCACCTTTCGTGTCCTACAGGGCACCTCCGTCGCTCCGACAGCTACTCGTGCGAGCGTCGTTCAGGTGACTAGGGTGCCCCGCTCTCGCCGTCGCCGCACAGCACGTCACTTGTCTTCTGTGGGTGTCGTGCCGTCTCGGTTAGTCGTCTGCCGCCTCCCCGCCCTTCCTCCTTGTTTCACAGCACGTGCACACGGGTGGGGCCTTGGAGCGAGCACCTTTCTGCACTTCGCAGCGGCGTGCTGCATTTGGTTGGGCCGTCGCAGCAGCACCATCCCCCGTCCAGTCTCTTCGTTTTCTCACACAGGCTGGACCCAGGGATGCACGACAGCCTCCCGCCTGACTTCTTTGATTTCAGCCACACAGGTCAGGCCCTGGGGCAGTGTGAGTGTACCTGCGACTACACTCTGCGTTCGTTGTGGGTTGTATCTGTGGGTTACGCACTTGCACACTTGTACCATTCCCCATCCCAGACCGTTATGAGTACTGGGATGCCTTTCTCCTCTTTGCACGGGACTTGGGTTTTGGTAGCATGTGCATTGTACCTTCCCCACCTCTGGCCATATGAGCACAGGGGTGCCTTTCTCCTCTTGCACGTAGTGGGGATTTATGGGATTCGGGGTACCATGACACATGGCACATGTACTTGACACGCCCCCGACCTTTATGAGTACCAGGGGGCACAGCACGCGAGAGGGTGACTAGGCCTCTTTCTAGTTTCGGGGGTTAGCTTGTTAGGTACATGCAGGTCTCCGTCTCACTGTGTAGGGCTGATGAAGGGCTCTTCGACGAGCCTTCACACGCCCCGAACGGAGCACCGAGCGCTGAGTTACGCGCGTTTTAGTGGTACGCTCTCTGGTTTCGCGCGAATCTGGAGAGCGCCGGGCTGGCACCCGAACATGACTGTTTGCATGTTCCGGTTTTCGCCACCCGGACCCGACGGTTACCCTGTATATTATATGTCGGACCATGAGCCCCGTAGGGGCTGGAGGCTGCCGGAACCGTCGGATTCGCCATCTGGCGCCCGGATTGGGAGATATGGGCAGCTGGGTGTAGGCCCTTGGCAGGCTGCACAGTTGGCAGCCTGCAAGGGCGTTTCTTTGCCTAGGTGGCAGGTTAGGCCCACATTGCACTTTGGGGCATTGGGTTGGGTTGGGACAGCTATAAGTAGGGAGCTCTTGCTAGGGTAGATCCTTGTCTTGCTGATGATGCCTTCGTGGCGAAATCGATACGAGACTGCTTCTACCTACACTTGAGGTACTTACTCTATTGCATGTCCCTACACCCCTAGGCTTAGGACTTGTGTTTTTTTCAGCAGTTTGCTTGCCTAGCTAGAAGTTTCTTGCAGTTCTCCTGCATTCCGCTAGGCCATTTTCGTCGTCGTTTTTTCCTGCCGCTTGGGGAGCCTTGTGTTGCCCCCTGGCGGCCCTAGCCTACCCTTAGAGTAGTGCCATCGGCTAGACTTTCAGAGACTCGTGCCCCTCGACTTCTCCCAGTCTAGGCCGTTAGTCTCTCGTTCTACCGATAGGCCGTCACAGCCACTTTCTTCGTTAGCGACTCTAGACTGTCTGGAGCAGCACTGCAGCTCAGTTCTTTGAGCATTCCTATCAAACCCTAAACCTATTGCACTGACGCCGGTGTTGGAGAGTGGCGTAGACGATACAGACTCCTAGTTTTTTCCGTTTCGTTAGTCTTTTAGACGTCACCATGAGTGGGCTCCGAGTTCCTGCAGCGGCAGGCACTGGGGGAGGAGCCGGTGTCGGCAGAGCAGGAGACCAGGGGGGATCAGCGGCTGCGGCTATGGAGACTAGTGCACCAGCTACTGTCGCTGATATTACTGAGCAGTTTCGGCGTACTCGTAGACGGACCGAGCGGGACGAGGAGGACAGACGGACGGAGTTGGCGCTGGAGCAGCAGGCCGAGTGGCAGCGCAGCATACAGCAGCAGCTTCGTCTCAGGAATATTGAGGGGGATATCCTGCGAGACCGGTCCGTGATAGACAGCTGGGTTAGGATGATCTCTCGTGACAGGGAGCAGTTGGCACAGGAGGCAGCTTCCATTCGCGAGCAGCTGAGACAGGAGGCTGAGACCTTGGCACAGCAGCGGCAGCAGCGACCACGGCTTGGGCTACCGTCGTCGCAGCAGGAGCCACAGCAGCAGGGCCAGCAGCAGCAGCAGGGGCAACAGCAGGCCCAGCAGCAGCAGGGTCAGCAGCGGCAGGGTCAGCAGCAGTCTCAGCAGCAGCAGCCGCAGCAAGCAGCAGCAGCCGACAGCCACCGGTGCGGCGGGTGAGGCTACTGCCGGGGGAGAGCAGACAGACACTCTTGCCTCGAGGCTGTTTCGGCAGGTCTTTGGTGGTCTTTTCCCAGACACTTCTGGAGGAGGGGCAGCAGCCGCAGGAGCAGCAGGTGCAGGGGCTGGGGCTGCCACGGACCCTGCTCTACTTTCCAGGGTGGCGGAGATTAGGGACGCCATCCAGGCAGAGACGGTACCACCAGAGTTTACAGCGCTCATAGAGACAGAGTCCGCTGTACTAGCAGCTGACTTGCGAGCCGTCGTTAAGACCGAGAGGGGTCTGGCGAAGACTCGCAAGCAGTTTTCTGAGGGACAGGTGGCGCACTGCATCCCGAAGAACTTTGTACCTGAGCTCCACCTCCACACTACAGAGGCACAGGAGCAGCTTCGGACTAGGATGCAGGAGCTTCAGCAGCACGCACAGGGACAGATGCAGCTGATTCTTATCAGCGGCCAGGTGGAGGACTTGCAGCAGCTTCAGACTCGGGTCACTACCTGGCGTGACAGGCTTCTCGTGACGATAGACGACCGACTTTGCGAGAGCCTGTGACGTGGGGTTCCTTGCGCAGCAGTTTGCAGCAGAGCCGGCACGCTCTGCTATCTGGCAGAGCATCCAGACGCTGAGGGTTAGGTGCCACGCTGCTGTTACAGACGCACTCCTCCGTGTAGGGCTGCAGCACCGGCAGTACGCAGACACTGAGAGCAGGCGGGTGGAGCAGCAGCAGCGTCAGAGAGAGCGACGTCAGGAGCGGCGTGAGCAGGCAGAGGCGACGCCTGTAGACCAGACCATGGGAGAGTTTGTCCCCAGGGAGGTCGAGAGGCAGGTGGGCGCCTGGCAGGACGAGGCCCGGGAGCAGCTTCGTCGCATCCTCGAGCGACTTGACCGTTTGGAGGGGCGGCGCTCAGGGCAGTCAGGCCAGCAGCAGCGAGGCAGGACCAGGACTAGGGAGGTTACGGGTGACGGACGCCTGGAGTCCGTCTCTCCTGTCCGTAGCCGCACTCCGCAGGGCCGACAGGGCAGCCGCTCACAGCCTACTCAGGGAGCGGGTGCACAGACTGCAGGTACACAGGGTGCAGCAGGACAGCCTTCCCAGGGTCAGGGAGCAGCCACCACGACCCAGCAGCGCCCAGTGACACAGACCCAGGGGCAGCAGCAGCAGGGTCAGGGGCAGCAGCAGGGTCAGGGGCAGCAGCAGCAGGGTCAGCAGCAGCAGCGGCAGCAGCAGCAGCAGCAGCAGCAGCAGCAGCAGCAGACCCAGCAGCAGCAGACCGGGACCACACGTCAGTCTGAGCAGGCCCCTGCCTCCACTCAGGGAGGCAAGGGGAAGGGCGGCGGTGGCTCCACGAGTTTCCAGGACCGCAGAGGCGGTAGAGGAGGACGTTGGGACCGGGGAGGTCGTTGGGGGAGGGGTGGACTGGACGGCGGGTGGCAGGACCGTGACAGTTGGTCACAGCAGCCGTTCCAGTCTACCTACCAGGGCCTAGCACAGCAGCAGCAGCCGTTTAGCTCTTACGGCCTGCAGCAGCAGCAGCAGCCGTTCGGTCCTTACGGCCTGCAGCAGCAGCCTTCTTGGCAGTACGGACAGGGGGGGTCCTCTTTCGGCCCCTACCAGGGCTCCTTCTTCCAGGGTCCCTCGTACTTTCCCTTTTCTGGCGCACCTGCGCAGCAGCAGTTCTACCAGCAGCCTTTTTTGGGGCCTTCTTTCCAGCAGCAGCAGTTTGGAGCACCCCTCCGGCAGCAGCAGTTTGGAGCACCTCCTCCGACCCCCCCCACAGCCCCCCCTGCCACAGCAGCCTCCACAGGGTCAGGGGGAGCAGCAGGGGCAGGCGAGGCAGTAGAGGGAGTCGTGGGGGAGGAGGTCGGTCGTAGGAGGAGGAGTAGGCCGCGTAGGAGGCTGGAGGAGAGTGACACCGACCGTCTTTTGAGACTGTTTGCTAGGCGCTCTGTGCAGGAGGTGGCGGACAAGCTAACTAACGTGGCTGTCCACAACCTTTCGCGCAGGCAGTTGTCAGAGGATGAGCTTGCAGGCCTCGCCCTTGGCCTCAAGTTCATCCCGACACCACCCTCCTTAGACCAGGAGCAGCTGAGACAGGCGGTGGAGCAGTTTCAGAGGAGGGTCAGGCTGGCTTGGCAGTTCCGGGACAGTCGCAGACCAGTACCCAGGTTCAGAGTCCCACGTCCCAGCTGGCAGCCGAGTTCGGGACCAGAGGAGGTTGAGGAGTACCTGGCCGGGGTAGCTGACAGGGTAGAGGGTTTGTCGGAGCTGATAGGGGGGCCAGCGCGGCCCAACGTGAGCAGGAGGGTGTTGGGCGCGCTGCAGAGGTTGAGTCGGGACCGGTCTATAGTTATTAAACCGGCCGACAAAAACCTTGGGATTGCGGTGTTAGACAGGGAGTGGTACGAGGGGGAGGCGCTGAGGCAGCTGGGGGACAGGGCGGTTTACGAGCCGGTGGCTATGGTGCCGTTGCAGAGACTTTGGGGGCAGTTGTGTCGGTGGGCAGAGCAGGCACGCCTGGCAGGGTTGCCGTCGCAGGTGTTAGACTTTATCCTGCAGCCACGCACTCCGTGTTTGGAGCGGGCTACCAGAGCTTGGGAGCGGTTTCGGGTGTGCAGATTCTACTTGCTACCGAAGCTGCACAAGACTCCAGTAGCCGGCAGGCCTATCTGCTCGTCCACGCTCTGGGTTTTTGAGCATGCATCGGCAGTCTTAGACCACTACCTCCGCCCTTTACTACGGTTTTCACCCTCGCACCTTCCAGACTCACTTGCACTTTTGCACCAGCTAGAGGACCTTCGTGTGCCAGCAGAGGCTCTCTTCCTGACCTACGACGTTGAGAGCCTCTACCCATCGATCCCTATCGACGCAGGTATCAGCTGCATCGAGAGGTGGTTGCTTCGGTGGGCAGCACAGGGGAGGATTGCAAGGGGGGTAGCAGACACACTGGTGCAGCTGTTGGGGTTGGTCATGAGGCAGAACCACCTCGAGTTTGGTGGTCGTTTTTTGGCGGCAGGTTCGGGGGACTGCTATGGGCACGCCTGTAGCAGTGATCTACGCGGTTCTGTTCATGGCTTGGTTAGACGAGAGGTTGCTAGAGACAGAGCCCGAGTTGTCGCAGCACGTCCTTCTCCACCGCAGGTTCATAGACGACGGGGTGGTGGTTTGGACGGGGACACGGGAGCGGCTGCCTGGAGTGGGTGGGGGCGTTTGGTGGGTTGGAGCAGACTATTCGACTGACCCACGAGATCTCCACCTCACAGTTCACCTTGCTGGATATCACGTTCAGCAAGGGAGAGCTCTGGCAGACGACGGCTATCTTGGACACCACGACCTTCCAGAAGCCGCTCAACGTGTACCAGTACTTTCCTTTCTCCTCCGCGCACCCCTCTCACTGCAAGAGGGGCTTCATCTTGGGTGAGCTGCAGCGGTACATTCTGAGGGAGTCCAGTTCTCGAGGGTTTAGGAGTATCAGGTCGGCCTTCTACGCTCGGCTGCGGGCGGCGGGGGTACCCAGACACTTTCTTGCAGCCGATCTTCAGCAGCATCTCCTACGCACGACGCCCGGAGCTTCTTGCCAGGTCACGGGCTCGGGGGGGAGGGGGAGCAGGAGGCGCAGCAGCGGGTTCTCCCTCTTGTTCTCGACTTCCACCCAGAGTGTGGCAGCAGGTCCGCTGGGGTAGGTTGCTGGCCTTCCCTCCAGAGGCACCAGCGTTTGAGCAGCTTTCTCACTACAGGGCACCTTCGTGTCCTACAGGGCACCTCCGTCGCTCCGACAGCTACTCGTGCGAGCGTCGTTCAGGTGACTAGGGTGCCCCGCTCTCGCCGTCGCCGCACAGCACGTCACTTGTCTTCTGTGGGTGTCGTGCCGTCTCGGTTAGTCGTCTGCCGCCTCCCCCGCCCTTCCTCCTTGTTTCACAGCACGTGCACACGGGTGGGGCCTTGGAGCGAGCACCTTTCTGCACTTCGCAGCGGCGTGCTGTCATTTGGTTGGGCCGTCGCAGCAGCACCATCCCCCGTCCAGTCTCTTCGTTTTCTCACACAGGCTGGACCCAGGGATGCACGACAGCCTCCCGCCTGACTTCTTTGATTTCAGCCACACAGGTCAGGCCCTGGGGCAGTGTGAGTGTACCTGCGACTACACTCTGCGTTCGTTGTGGGTTGTATCTGTGGGTTACGCACTTGCACACTTGTACCATTCCCCATCCCAGACCGTTATGAGTACTGGGATGCCTTTCTCCTCTTTGCACGGGACTTGGGTTTTGGTAGCATGTGCATTGTACCTTCCCCACCTCTGGCCATATGAGCACAGGGGTGCCTTTCTCCTCTTGCACGTAGTGGGGATTTATGGGATTCGGGGTACCATGACACATGGCACATGTACTTGACACGCCCCCGACCTTTATGAGTACCAGGGGGCACAGCACGCGAGAGGGTGACTAGGCCTCTTTCTAGTTTCGGGGGTTAGCTTGTTAGGTACATGCAGGTCTCCGTCTCACTGTGTAGGGCTGATGAAGGGCTCTTCGACGAGCCTTCACACGCCCCGAACGGAGCACCGAGCGCTGAGTTACGCGCGTTTTAGTGGTACGCTCTCTGGTTTCGCGCGAATCTGGAGAGCGCCGGGCTGGCACCCGAACATGACTGTTTGCATGTTCCGGTTTTCGCCACCCGGACCCGACGGTTACCCTGTATATTATATGTCGGACCATGAGCCCCGTAGGGGCTGGAGGCTGCCGGAACCGTCGGATTCGCCATCTGGCGCCCGGATTGGGAGATATGGGCAGCTGGGTGTAGGCCCTTGGCAGGCTGCACAGTTGGCAGCCTGCAAGGGCGTTTCTTTGCCTAGGTGGCAGGTTAGGCCCACATTGCACTTTGGGGCATTGGGTTGGGTTGGGACAGCTATAAGTAGGGAGCTCTTGCTAGTGGTAGATCCTTGTCTTGCTGATGATGCCTTCGTGGCGAAATCGATACGAGACTGCTTCTACCTACACTTGAGGTACTTACTCTATTGCATGTCCCTACACCCCTAGGCTTAGGACTTGTGTTTTTTTCAGCAGTTTGCTTGCCTAGCTAGAAGTTTCTTGCAGTTCTCCTGCATTCCGCTAGGCCATTTTCGTCGTCGTTTTTTCCTGCCGCTTGGGGAGCCTTGTGTTGCCCCCTGGCGGCCCTAGCCTACCCTTAGAGTAGTGCCATCGGCTAGACTTTCAGAGACTCGTGCCCCTCGACTTCTCCCAGTCTAGGCCGTTAGTCTCTCGTTCTACCGATAGGCCGTCACAGCCACTTTCTTCGTTAGCGACTCTAGACTGTCTGGAGCAGCACTGCAGCTCAGTTCTTTGAGCATTCCTATCAAACCCTAAACCCTAAACCCTAAACCCTAAACCCTAAACCCTAAACCCTAAACCCTAAACCCTAAACCCTAAACCCTAAACCCTAAACCTCCCTAAACCCTAACCCTAAACCCTAAACCCTAAACCCTAAACCCTAAACCCTAAACCCTAACCCTAAACCCTAAACCCTAAACCCTAAACC